TAAAATCTGACTTTTGAATCAAAAAGTTAGAAGCTCGTAATAAGTTGTTCTTTGTAGAAAAAATTAAATTTAACAAAAGTTTATAAAATAATAAAAAAAGAAAGAAATTGTGATATATAACAATAATTTCTTAATTTAAAATACTTGTATATGATGCGCAGGCCGTTTGTTTCAAAAAATAATTATTTCAAACATAATATAATACACATAGCCATGTGTTGTCACAGATTCTCCCAGAGAAGATAATTAATTAGAATTATGTGAATGAAGTTCTTACAAAAGTTCGTGGTTGTGAATCATTTTTGTTCCTTTTTTTTTCAAATCTTGCAATCTTTATTTAAGATCTGCCCTAGGTAGGGCAATTATTACATTTGATGATCATAACCTTGAAATTCTTTTAATCATGATTCGAACCGAGACTGGAACTCCTGCTACCTCTTTGGGCTATAAAAGACTCCATGAATTGACTAGTGAATTCGTTATTGTTGAGGTTGTACTTATAAATATGGAATTTTCACTGATTATAACATCAATGAAATGCCAATAAATGTTCTTTCGAAAATTCATAAATCTGCCAAATATCCAAAATCATTGAACATCTCTTCATTTTCAACTTTGTGGTCCAAGGTATTAAACGTATTTTAAAGAAAATTTTCAAAGTTTTTAACGTAAAATTTTTTATTTAATATTTAAAATGAAAACAAGGCTTTCGTTAGAACAAAATAGCTTATGTAATTGAATTGTTAAAGGCTTTATGGATTCTATGAGCTCTCTTGGGTGCCATACAATATTGTCAATGTACTTTTGCCGAGCATTGTAACTACATATAGCAGTCATATAGAAGTAATAGCAGCAGCAGCCACGTCTGTTTGGCATAACAAAATCTACAAGCAATCAACCCCAGCTACAGCAGATTTTCAACAACGAAAACAACAACAAGAAGACAGGCAAGCAGGCAGGCAGACAGAAGGACAGAGAGTGAGGCAGTCAGCAGGAAGACTTGAGCAGAAGGCAGGAAGCAGGACGCAGGAGTCAGCAAAGCAGCAGCCAGGACGCCAGCTTGAGCACTTCAAATGTGTGCGTAAGAAAATAAGTCATTTTCCCTTAGGAAAGGTGGGGTGTTGTGGTGCAGTGAGAGATGGGGAGGAGAGGCGCCCCCCATATATATACTTACATACATACATTCATACATATATTTGGATGAGAGAAGGAATTCATCGATTGAATACAATACAAATATGTCAACGAGTCGCTTGAGATGTCTATGTCGACGTTGAAATCTCAGACGCTACACAACAATGCGTAGTGAAGGATGGAGGAGTGCGGAGTACAAAAAAAAAGACAAGGACCTTAGCAGCGACTTTGGTTTAACTCATTTCAATATGCCTGGGGAGTGAACGACGATGACGACGACGCGCTACCAAAACCAATCAGTCAGTCAGTCAGCTTCGTGAAGCTAAAGCTAAACCAGAAGCTGAAGTTGAAGGCGAAGATGAGTGCGATGATGAGGATGAGCCGGCAGAGTGGTGCCCGGGAGGGTGGTGAAGGGATGGGGAGAGAATTCGAATCAGGCTGAAGAACGCTGTTGTGCTGCTGAGCTCGTCGCTTCGTGCCTGGCTTGGTGTTGAATTACGGGCATTTTGAAAGAATTGAATTTGGCATACCAACAACAATAACAACAAGATAGAATTTTATGGTGTATGTAGGTGAAATCGACTATAAAGTGCCCCTACCTATATATATGTACATATAGAGTATATTATGGATGGGGTCAAGCGATCCAACTCATCAGCTTGTTCATCGAAGATATTTATTGTAAGGTTCGTACTTAGTAAATAACAGATTGGGTCTATTTTGAAATTTGTCATTTATTTATTGAAGAGTATAAGTTAGTTGTTTGTTTTAGGAAAGAAAGTGTGATACAATCATATAGTATTTTTAATAAATCTATTAAAAGAAATCATGCCAGAAATAAGAGTAATCTATGAGCTGTATATAAAACAAGTTTTTCAAATCACATTAAAACGAATAATAGGGATAATAGAGCTTAAAGATAGGCAGTTATTCAAATCGGCACTTGCAATTTCATTTACGCACTGAAAAACTATTATTACCAACAAAAAAAACATTTGAACATTTTGCGTTCAACCATTAAAAATGTTAATAGCTATTTTTTTTCCACTTCAAAATCAATTAATGTTTTAAAATGTTAACCATAGAAAAAAAAATTGTGTAGACTACCTGATGCTGATGGATGCTTATTTCAAACATAAATACATATTTTCTAGTCATAGAATACAACGAAATACGACCAATAACGGCAAAAAAAAGTTCCTGTAGGTTTATATGCTTCTAATTTAATAAAGGCTCTTAAAATATAAAAATGATTATTATTTGGCAGCAGGCTGCTTGGATTACGTATCGACCATTGTATCACGCGAATGCTAATGCGCGTATGTATCAAGAATCGAAAATAAACACGAAACATAAATATTAATATCTTGGAGTGCTACGCAAAATAATTCTCTGGTATCCTCCGCTCTTGTTGGCTCATTCAGACAGTCAAGTGGAATCACTTCAGCCGAAGGATTTGTTTTCCTTAGCACGCAGAGTGTTACATAAGCCATGTGAAAATATGTATACCCTGCCACAGAAGCCGAGTCCTACAATAAAAACAGCAACAGCTCAGGCAGCTAAGTACTCATAGGAATATGGCGGGCAACTCAAGTAAAGGTATGGAAAGTTGAGGCCTGGCATGCCAGACCCACACCTCTGCAGCAAGTTATTTGCCAACGCATTCCATTTGAATTACCCAGCGAGCGAGATAATGCGTCGACATCACCGCCACTGCTGCCGCTACTTCTACAACACTCAAGGCGCTGGCAATCAATGCCAAGGTGGCAGAGGATGCTTGGAGTGGACGGGACGGGACGGGAAGGGAAAGGTTGGTGGGTATATATAGGTGGAAAGAAGGCAACCAACGTGCTAAGTGACATCCACCGGCGGCAATCAGTGGCAATAACAAGGTGGCGCCTTGGCAGAGTTGCGTGGCAAAATGCGAATTGTTATTTTATGAAATTGCAAACACAATCAGCCAGAGATGCCAGAGACATAGAGAGAGCGTCAGGACGAGGAGACAGACAGACAAACAATCAACCCATACATCGTATACTACTCCTTCCCATTCCAATTTTTCGATTGTCTTGCCAAATGGAAATGTCAAAGGTGGCAGTCATTCAAGAAGGCTATAGGTATAATACTTAGGCAAAAAATAGGAAGAGCGACATGCAGACCGACCACCGACGACCGACAGACATGAGCAAAAGGCGTAAATCGGGCAGACAAATAAATTGAACTAATAGAGCTGTTAACATTGGCGGGACTTGCGAGCTCGCTTTCCTTTTGCTTGCAACGCCCCCAAGGAGCTGAAAAACTTGGCAAAGACGAAGAAGAAGAAGAAGACGACGAAAACAAGAACGAGTGTGCAACAAAAGTTATAACTGGAAAAATTCTTGTGCAATTTTCTCTTTCCCTTTCGCCTTTTCAGTTTTTGTGCGCCAGCCAGCAAGTAAAATATTTGAATTGAGACAAAAAGGGAAGGCTGAAAACAAAAACTGTGAAAACCGCCAAAGCACTCGAACAACTTGCAAGACAATCCGCTTTGCGAAGCTAGTCATGTTATTGTTGTTGTTCCTATTATTTGTTGTTTTTGTTGTTGTTGTTATTGCATCTTCTGACCATTGTTTGTGTCTGTGTTGCGGCTGCTGATGCCGCTTTTGCTGCTTTTGCTGCTGCGGGCCAAGCCAAAGTTATTAGATTCATTTCAAGTTGGACGGAAAAGTGCACTCAAAACACTGAGGCAAACAAAGTCAAAGTAAGGCAACACACAACAACAACAACAGCAGCAACACAAATTGAAAAAAGTTCAAAACGCCCACGAAACCAACAATACAACAGCAACAGCAAGAGCAACAGCAACAACAATAACAACAATAACAACAATGGCAATAACAATAGCAACCAAAAATAAAGTAACAACAGCAGCCACAGTGGAAATTGATTAAACGAAACGACACTTGAGTGCAATTGCCGCAAACAAATGAAAAAGATTTTTACATTTTCCATGAAAATGTATATTACTAAAAGAAATAATAATAATAAGCATTGTTCAATCAAGTACTGAGACAACACTTTCTTACAACGCCATTAAAAATGTTGCTTTCTAGGTCCTCGAATCTGTGCCAACGGTTGGTAAAGGGCTTCAGCTATTTGTAATTTGTTTTCCTATAAACTTTCATTTATATTGTTTATTAAAGCAATGAAGTCTTGTTTATTTGAACGGCTAGGAAGTGAAATAGATCCGTCCAAGCTTAGCTTTACGATTAAATAAAAATAATTATTAATAAATAAAAGTGCTTTATAGTAATGCTTTTTGCAGTTCGTGAATTCGAAAAGAAAGTTTAGGTGTTTGGCGTTTCGTACAGCGTGAGTCTTTTCAATTAATTAATTACAATATTAATTTGTCAATCCATTGTATTATTAAAGAAAACTCTGCAATATTGTAATTAATTAATTGAAAAAACTCACGCTGAACGAAGGAGTACAAATACTTTTGCAGCTGCTTGTTTTCTGCTTGTCACATCCAAAAATTCTAAATGTGGGATCAAAAGTGAATAAAAAGGTAAAAGAAAGCTCAAAAGATAGATCAAAAGACAGCTTCAAAGTTGAGAAAAAATTCCGAAAGCTTTGCGAAATTCTATCAGACTAGTTCGAATTGCACAAGTGAACTGGTTAAAAAATATGACTTTTTCCAATTAAGTGATTAATTGTGGAAAGATAGTTTATACGTATTAGTTCGATCCATTAGTTTGCATTGCATTCGCTTCTTGACTCTCTAACAGAGCTTATTCAGTTTTACATGTAGTACACTCTGCAAGTAATTTCAAACATATACTATCAGCATAAGTTTTAAGACATTGTTTCAAAAATATTACTACAATATGGACTGCAGACGTGGTAATAATACTTATTCCTACGTTCCGTGCAGTGATGTTGGACATTTCTTTTATGGCTGGGACTTGTTGTATAAATCAGTTCTAAGGGATGTGTACAAGAAATCCGACTTACTCATAGCGCTGGTTCACTTTTTGGTGACAAAGCTGTACGATTTTCGTTGCATCGGTATTGGGGACGATAGTGTTTTGAGGGAGGAAGTGATGGGCTCCGAACTACTTCCTGACGATTGGAACAATGATGATTTAAAGTATTCGCTGCGGTATGTGAAGGACAACAATCTATATCTGTTGCTTGGACACATTACTGAAGACACGTTGGTGATGAATCTATTGGACATTAATACAAAGAAGGTGTCTAATATTTGCCTTGAACCGGAGCTATTGGTATTTGCCTTCACTGGCGATATCAACACACTTATGCCAACAGCTTCTGAAATTTCTGATCGCTACATAAAGGAGCTTTTCGTGCCAGTTATTGAAGGAATGTCACGTGAAGCTGGCACGCAGACAACAACAACGCCCAGCAGTGCTTCAAATCAATTCCCTCTACTCCTGCCTAGGCCTCAATTCATGACAAGGGGTTCTGTGTCTGCCCAAATCGAGACTGGCAATTGCTGTGGCAATGATAAATGATTAAAGTGCCAATTTCTGTTCATTACAATCATTGTGGATGTAGTCCTTCAAAATTAAATCTGTTTCGTTTTAAAATTCTTGAATACTGTGAGTTTTTACAGGCGTGCTAGAATATTAAACATTTTATGTTAATAAATTATTTTAGTGTTAATTATAAAATGACTGTCTGCTGATGCACCAATTATTGTGCTTATTTGTGCATTATATTTATTACAATTTCTATATTTTCTCGCTGTTCTTCTTGACGAACTAGTAGGACCAACACCAAAATATTAACAAGATAGAGCGCTACAGTCAAGTAAGCCCGACAGTAAAATAGCCTGTACTCTCCACAAAAAAGAAAAATGTCGGCGGCGCTACAAGCAGAGCATGGGCAGCGATTTTATTTATGGCGATAACTTTCTTCAGAATTACAATCATGATGTAACTTGGCATACGGACACATAAGCACTAACTGGACGTAACTACTAAGACTGGTTTCAAAATTCCAAGAATTACGGAAGTTATAAAAAAAACGAATTGAGGGGGAGTGGGGGGGGTGTATCAGACTAAAAAATAAACTTGACCTGCCCAGGGCTTAGGGGAACCTTATTTCAGTTGGCTTGCATTTCAATTTTTAAAACAGACTGGCTAGGCCCCGTCCAATCCCCCGAACAATCGGCTATATCGTTTCTTTATTTAAAACATTATTAAGTGTGATTCACCAAAAAATCAAGTGTTGGATTACAACTGATTGAGAAAGCAAAAAAGATGACATAAAGAAATATATAGCTTGCATTTCAGACAAGTTAACATTTCTGTCGCACCGTTGGCTCAGCCTGATTTTGTCATCAAAGAAATCACTTTTTTTAAAGCTTATGTTAAAAAAAAAAACAACAGTTACTGTAACATGATATTTTAAAGTAAAAACTAATCCTTGCTGTCGTATTCTGTGATAGCCAGAAATTCTGAAATAAACTAAATGATGGATTGCAAATTGATGATCCTGATGTAGGCATGCATTTCGTTCTATAATCCTACACTCATGACATTTAGTCATTCGCAATTTCGTAATTATATTCAGGCTATTTTTACTGCATTTGTTGGATGTAATTCGACTGAAAGAGATTTCATTGTGCCCTGATACATAGTGGTTGTAAAATTGTCAATTATACTACGGAGACGATTCTTTTTTTTCAACACTCTTCTCAACAAAGCAATGCTTTTAGATAATTTTTGCCGTTACTCAGTTGAACATAGGCAGTATGAACTGTACTGTTGGCGTTGACATTGTGCTAAAGTATAGGCGCTATAAATGAGGGCTGCTGGACCTAGACTCGTATGGGCTGGGGGAGTGCGTGTGTCGTTAAGTAAAACTGAAAGGCACAAAAGAAACCGCAACATCAGCAGCCGAAGTCTGAAATATATGAAGAGTGGCGCCCACACACTCACACACACTGACACACACCGACACACACACACGGCTAGTGAGGGGCGCACATGGCCTACAGGAAGCTTGGGAGTTGGGATTTGGTAGTTGGGGGGAAGTGGAGAAATGGGTAGTGGGGGCAGAGCACTTATTTCAAACAATTAACTTGATATTGCAACGTGCTTTTGTAAAGCAGCAGCAGTAGCAGCAGCAGCCCCCAAAACTCAAACTTCAGAACTACGGGCAAGTAAAACAACTCGCAGCAATGCTAAAGTGCACAAAAGTTGAGGCAAAATCAGCAAAAGGTCCTCGGTGACGACCAGGGCAGCAAACGCTCGCTCGCTCGCTCGCTAGTTCTGGGCAGTGGTAGCATTTTGTCTTATGCCAAACTTTTTGCGATATAGTCAAATAAGCAAGGCACAGGAATGAGAGAAAGAAATAAAGAAGGAAAGATAGAAAGAAAGAAGGAGCCACTTGGGCAGCATGTGGCTAAAAGCAGTACTGAAACAATCTCTGTGGGTATATGTGCGTGTATATATATATACAAATATGTATACTATATATACGATGAGCGTATATGGACTCTTAAGCAAAAGAAAAACATAATAAAATCAAACCCAGAGCGGAGGAGCACAGGCCACGAAAGTAAAATAAGAACGAAAGAAAAACAAAACTCACGAAAAGCGTCAACACTGACGCTCTTTTTCTTTTCTTGTTTTGTAGTTGTTGTTGTCTTTTGGAATTGCTATCAGTGTTACAGTTGGCGGCTGTCGCACCTAGTTGCCATCAAAAGCAACAACAACAACAACGGCAACAACAGCAGCAACAGGGGGCAACATTTGGCTGCAAGGCGTCAACTCTTGTGCTACAACTTGAACACGAAGTTCATCAACTGGCGACTGGCATTTGTTTGAGGGGAGTTGGGTGCCTGGTTGGGTATCTGAAGGCGGGTCCAAGGCGAACGCCTCATTATTGTTGTTGTTGCTGTTGCTGTTGTTGTTTGCTTGCCACAAGAATGAATATTGCCCGTCGCCTCAAGCTGTTTGACTTGGCTTTAGCTTTCGTTGAGTTTTGGTGGCCTGCCACTGCCGCTACCACTACCACTACAATTTCATCTCCTTCTTGTTCCACCTCCACTTCCTTGCTTTCTGCAACTTCTACTTCTGCAGCCGCGGCTGCTGGTCGTCACCTGTCCTTCTTATTTATATATTTTTGTTGTTGTTTATCTTAGAAATTTACTTACGCGTATTTGCGCTCAAAATGGGCTGGTGCGTGCACACACTTCTGCCACTCGCGCCACTCACTCCACTCACGCCACTCACGCCACTCACACCCCTCACACGCATACGCAATATCTTTTTATTTTATTTTATTTTATTTTTTTTTTTTTTTGTTAAGAAAAGAAAATGAAAAATAAAATGATTATTGTTCGTGCAAGCTTTTTACATGATTAGTTTCTTGGCCAACGCCACCACCAACGCCAACAATTTTAATTTTAAACGAAATTTACTTAAGCACTCGGGGGTTGTGGTGCAAACTCAGAGTTGGCACACGCATTAGAAATGCAAATTAAAATAGCAAAAGCAGTGGAAAAAGTACAATAAAAAGTGTACAGTCCAATCGGCTTAAGTTGAACATAAATAACATAAATTCAATAAAAGTTAATGAAAGTCGACCGGAGCCTAAGCAGCAGATGTCATGCAACATAACCTCTTTGATGAGTTGACTTAATAAACTACCAAACAAAACTACGGTTTTAGTTCTTCTGTACTATCAGGAGGTTAAAGTTCATAAAAAATATTCAGAGGCTCTTCACTTTTCAGTTGCACTTTTCACTTCAGTTGTTCGACAGCTGCTACTTCTTGCAGCTGAAGCTGTAAAAAAAATTATTTTGCTTTAAAAACCTTGCCGTTTGAAAGTTAGTAAAATTCAAAAGAATTTGTTTTTAAATTAGTTGCTTGTCGGATTTCAATTAAATCCTCTTTTAATTCAACTCATTGCTCAAGTACTGTAGTAGTACTGTGTAGTACTGAAATCAAGCCTTTGTCTTCAACATTTAAATGTAGGTTTTCTAATCAGATGCATCGCATCGCAGTTAAGCAATTAAGCAAGTCCTTATAACGACTAGTTGGGCACTCCATATTCCGATGTTAAATGCATTAAAAATAAATTGGAAAAATATATTAGAAGCTGCCTGCTTAATATAAACATTTTGCTGGCTTTAAATTTCTTTAAATAGAAAAGTAGACACATAGATTCTGTGTTGGAAATAAATATGATTATAAAATATCCGCTATCTGCATAAGGCATTGATTGGCCAGGAATGTTCCTCAAATGTGAAAACAAAAAACAACTCTAGACTTGACGACCATGATAAGTACATAGACAAAAACGAAATAAGCTAGTCCAATGTTTTTATTTTCTAGCGCAAATTAAAATTAATTTTCTACCTTGTAGGTGTTTCATTAGCTTACAATTTTCTATTGCATTTTTCAGTTGCTCTTAATTAATTCCGCTAAATTAAACGAAATTTAAACTTTTAAACGATTTAGCAAAAACTTTGTTGGCCTCTCACTTTATTTGATGGCAGAGTGTGAGAAATGCAAATTCATTTGATTTTAGCCCGTCGGCTGTTGGCATACATAGATAGGTACATATGTATGTATGTACGTGTATGTGTGTATGGTTCGAGCAACTGTCCGACTCTGTCACTATCCAGAACCAATGTTCGACGTCCGCAACAGCACCAATAACAACAAACTATCACATTTTGCCAATTTAACCTTGCGTGCACAGCTCAGCTCATAGACATACGCCCCGCGCCACGTCACGCCTCCGTTGCAACCGCGCTGGCATGTGCAGTGCACAGGAAATGTTAAATGATAATGCGCGGCACGCATAAAGTGCAGCGTACACACACACACTCACACAGAAACATATACTTGAACAGACACACGTTGCGTATACGTAATGCATTTTGATTTCAGTGCATGGCACGCTTGGCTGCCTGTCCCTGGAACATTGGTGGGCGTCCGGCAACGTTGATTCGTTTGATATGCTTAAATGCATGTGGCCGGCCGCACACACAAACACACACACACACACACACATACACATGCACATACATTGGTACGCACAGACACTTGCAATTTAAATGCGCGTGCGGAACACAAAATGCAAAATGCATTGTCTGCTTTACGGCGCGTGTCTGTCATTTCCGCTTTTTTACTAATAAAAATCGTTTAAAAACCGCACGGCAACGTTAAATAATAACAATAATGGTGTAAATTCAGCTGCCAACACATCAGGGTCTCCAGTCAAATTCCCTCTCATCAGCCACCTCTCTTTGCCATACACTGAAAGAATGACTATAACTGTAACATGAAGAATGCTGGAGACATTGCCGGCCTTACAAAAATTATTTCAATATAACCAAGTCACTATATTTCTTGACTTAAGATCTTAACATTCCAATGGAAATGAAGTTTTTAGCGCCACATTCTAAAATAAAAGAGTTAGTATTTATGGCCGATTTAAAGTCTTGATTTGTCGAATGAAAAACTTAGGGAAATGTGTTATTCCCATATAACAAATGGTAAAACAATTTTTAATTTTTGTTTAAAAAAATAATGTTTGAAAATCCCACATTTAAATCCCAGGTGTTTCTTTTGGTCGACTTGCAAAATTGGAGTTTGTCGGGGAATTAACTTCGATCTTCATTGACTAATCATATTTTTAACCAT